GAGGTTGATAAAAGAGTACAAAGTTTTAGCTATAAGATAAATAAAATCTGAGGATTTATGTATATTATTGTGACTATAAGTTAACAACACTGTACTGTATAATTGAAAGTTACTAACAGAGCAAAATTTAAATGTTCTCACACACACATGAAACAACAAACAGGGGAATTCCCCAGTGGTCCAATGGTTAGGGCTGTGCTTCCACTGCAGAGTGCACAGGGGTTTGATCCCTGGTCTGGGAACTAAGATCCTACAAGGCACACAGTGCAGCCAAAGGGAAACAAAAAAAGGGATAAATATGTAGTTGAAGGATGTGTTAATTAACTAGATGGGAGGAATTCTTTCACAATGTATACATACTCAAATCATGATGTATACTTTAAATATCTTACAATTTTGTCAACTATACATGAAAATGAAAATACTCAATAACACAAGTCCTATGAAACAAACTATTAAACGTGCTCCAAGTAACACATCTGTATTAATCTATACAAGAATATGAGATAATTCAAAGTATTTATGTTAGAAACAAAACATTATGAATTTCTGAAACTATTACATAACAAATCAGGGACAAAGTGAAAGTAAATGGCTTTAAAGAAATATATTATTGCTTAAATTATGCATTTAAAGTAAAAGCCTTTGTGTCTTTTCTTCTCAATAAAATATCAGGAAAAGAGAATTAGAAATTCAATGATATCCTAACTTCAAAATTGGTTTTGAGCAATTCTACACATTAGGAGACAATATATATAAAAAAAGCCACTTGGGCAATCTATACATTAAATAAACAGTTTAAATGCTTTAACTACCTCTGTCCAAAATCAGGTATCTAATGCAAGGATAAAGAAAGCCAAAAACATAAAGATGGTTGAAGAGGTCCACACTAGAAAGAGCCATTATATGAGAGATCTTTCATGTTCTCTCACTTCTATACTTATGGTAACTCCCAAATTCCTGGTAATGTCTCAAGGTACCCTACACCTTGTTGTTTACTAAGTCATGTCTAACTCTTTGTGACTCCATAGACTGTAGCCTGCTAGGCTGAAGTGGGTTGCCATTTCCTTCTCCAGGGAATCTTCCTGACCCAGGGATCAAACCCACATCTCCTGCATTTCAGGCAGATTCTTTACCCTACCTAATTTGTGAAATTTAAGAATCAAAACAGTATGAATATAAACAAGAGTTCATAACAAGCTCCTCATATTGTTTAAGCACCACCCTGAAGAATTTGGTTTTAAAATATCTTGAAGGACGTCTTAAATTACCAATATTCAAGTTAAGAATGTAATTTATTTTATGAAAACACTCAATTCATAGGGGCACCAAAAAATTATGAACTAATTAGAAAACTTAACAGGGTCACAGCCCATTTTAGTCCTATTTGAAAAACAGGATTCAGGAGCATTGGTTCTCTGAGCCTCAGTTTTCAACCTTCTAATTTCAAATATATATCTAGCACTTCAAAACAAAAACCAGAACACAATGAATAAAGATACAAACTGCTAATTTTTACATAAGTCTAATAAATGTAAAGTGAAAGTCGCTCAGTCATGTCAAACACTCTGCAACCACGGACTGTAGTCCATGGAATTCTCCAGGTCAGAATAGTGAAGTGGGTAGCCTTTCCCTTCAGGGGATCTTCCTAACCCAGGAATCGAACCCAGGTCTCCCGCATTGCAGGTGGATTCTTTACCAGCTGAGCCACAGGGAAGCCCAAAAATACTGGAGTGGATAGCCTATCCCTTCGCCAGCAGACCTTCCAGACCCAGGAATTGAACCAGGGGCTCCTGCATTACAGGCGGATTCTTTACCAACTGAGCTATCAGGGAAGCCAATGAAATATCATTTGACATTAAAAAGAATGAAATACTGATCCCTACTATAAAATGGGTGAACTCTGAAAACAGTGTAAGTACAAGAAGCTAGTTCCAAAAGTATACAAGTTAATGGTTTTTAATATGTTTACAAACTTGTGCAACTATTACCATAACCTAGTTTTAGAACATTCATCAGCCCCAAAAGAAACCTTGTACCTATTTATGGTCACTGTTTTCCACCAGTCCCAGGCAACCACTTATCTAAATTTCTATCTATGGATGTGCATATTTTGTATATTGCATAAATTATCTATCTTAACAGTCCTTCAGATAGTCAGCAGTTTATATACTCATACTTCAAAGAGAAGCTCTTTAAAACTATTATACAAAGACTGGTTTTTAGAATTCATACCACGGATTTTAAACCATATTTCACACCAGATTTTAAACAGGTACCAAGAAACATCACGGATTTTATAAGTCACTCCACTAACCCAGGTTTAAAAGTTTCTGAGCTATTCTAACTGCCCAGCAGGCCTGCCTGATTAATATGGAAACTCTAATTTTGCAAGTAAAAAGCAAATTCATAAAGAACTAGAAGCCCCATGACTAGCAGCAAAGAGGAAGTAGCTCTCCTAGCAAGCATATTACTTTATTCCCAGAAATAAGCAACTGCCAAAATATAACTCAGAATTGTTTGTATATAACATTATACAAACATTGCTTTTACAATCTGGGGATAATGCTGTTGATTCTTACTCCTCTTGGATGACATTATTCATATTTTATTTCTTCCTTGATTATGAAAATTAATACAATATTAGCTGAAGTTAGTGAGAATCTATTATGCAACAAATATCATTCTAAGCCTTTTTGTCACCATTTTCTATAGAATAACTTTAAAAAAAAAAAATCCCTTCCACATACCTTATCTTCCCAAATTGTATATTCCAATGGAAGAACAGCAGCAAGGAAGAAGTCCCCTTCATGATTAGTGACTGTCATCAAGATTTATGAGTTGCCATAAACTTACAAAGATTTCTTCTGGGTACCTTAGCCACAATGTCCTACAAATGTTGCTTCATTAATCCCCTGACCTCAGTCTACCACTTTCTCAACCCAAGTCTGTCAGCATAATCTTTCTTTAGTCTTATCTATAGTGCTTAACTCCGTCACTGGACAGCAGAGAGAACCTAAGACTGTTTAAATTTCAGGTAATACTCAACTGAACCAGAGAAATGGTCTAATGTACATGAGTAATTTCATACAATTGAAGGCCTCTCTTTCTGCCATTTCTACTCTCTGAATCATCCATTCTTCCCTTTGGATTTCAAGGTGAACAGAGTCTAACATCAAAGGCCATACTTCAGGGTATTCTTGATCTCATAGGCTAAGTGCAGGTTGTAGTGGCCATTTTGGAAAACTGCCAAATTCAGCTAACAGCAAGAGAAATGTGTGCAGAATAAAAAAGGTTTAGAACTATACAAAGGACAGCAAGAGAGTTACAACAATTGGATTAAAAATTTACCTGGATGTCCTAATAGTCAAGCTAGGAACATATAATGAGATTTTTATTATAACATTTATAATACTTGGGTATACCTGCTTAAAAAGTTCAAATTTAAAAAGTGGTTCCTTAGAATTCCCTGGAGGTACAGTGGTTTAAAGGCTCTAAGCTTCCACTGAGAGAAGTACTGATTCAATCACTGGTCAGGGAACTAAGATTCCACATGTTACACCACCCTCCTCCCCACTCCCCAAAAAATGGTTCTTTAACCAAATAGACTATCTACCCCTACTGTAGGATACTCCTACTGCAGGACTGCAAGTATTCCCCAGGAATAAAATTAACTGTTTATTTTAAACTAAAAAGGCTAATAGTAATAAGGACAAAAGACTTTACAGATGTTTATAAGGAGAAGGACATGGCAACCCACTCCACTATTCTTGCCTGGAGAATCCCACGGGCAGAGGAACCTGGTGAGTTATAGTCCATGGGGGTCACAAAGAGTCAGACACAACTAAGCTACTAACCCACAAGGAAATAAACAACTGTACACACTGTTTGATATTATGTTTACCCTCTAACTCAAGCAATCCTCAAAGAGAATAAGGTTAAAGTCATCTTTTGTGTTTGAACCCTATCTGTATATCACCTCTGCTCAAGTGTACAATATACAATCACTCCACTAGAGTATAAAATGGCTCAATTAACAATTATTAAGCAACTGTTCCAGGTCCTGCTGCACAAAAGAATTGGGGGAGGGGGGCAGAGTGAGAGGTTGAGACTGACATATACATTACTACATCCATGTAATGGCCTACACGGGAAAACAATCTAAAAAAGAAAAAGTAGATATATGTGTACCCAACTGACTTTGTTGTACACCTGAAACTAACACAACATTAAACAGTTAAAAAAAAAAGTGGAACAGACTCCATCCTTAGGGAACAACAGGTCAGTCCTGTCAATGAGCATAAGCATTTCCAACTAGTAACAATGTAAGTGGGATTGTGATATATATACATATAACCACAATCTGTGCAAGTCTGCCAATAAATTTTCTTATGAAAATATTAAATAAACAAGTCAATTACTAGGTGACTGCTTTTTCCATTGTTTTTGACTATTGTCTTAAATCCATTTGTATCTCTAAATTACACTGTTTTACACTTAAACTTGTTTTCTTAGCTTAAGACTGTGCCAATTTTTTTTTAAATTAGGCAGCTTTTAGGATAATTTATTGCATTTCTCACATCAATGATTTCAGAATTATAATATTACATCTTATTTCATTGAATTCTGATTTTTAAAAAGTAATTTTAACTACTTTATTCTACTCTTCCCTTTATTCAGTGTTTATCATTCCTAATTGTTTTTCTAAGCCATCTCCCCAAGATAAATCACATATCTACAATTAGATGTAAACTATCTAGTAACAGCTGTCAGGGACTATGTCATAAGCCTGATACCAAAAGTCTCAAAAGTATTTTACCCATTCACAACATAAAAGAGGCTGGGACAGAAGGCTGACAGGATGTGACCAATCCTTGCACAAATATCCATCCAAATACATTTTCTGACATGGGATCTTCACTCATTTTAATTGGTCAGTTCCTGAAAAAAGTGGATTTCAGACAATATAACTCCAATCAGTCACAAAGGACACAACTAACCTTTTGCTCTGCTTGCAACTGATCACATCTTTCTTTCTCATGGTTAAGTTCTCTTTCCATTCTTCCAACTTGTTCTCGAAGTTGTGTTGTTTCCTTTTCCAGAACAGCAATTAATTTTAACAGTTCTTCTTTTTCTTTCATGGTTTTCTCAATTTTCAACTATAAAACAGAAAACTCAAATTGTTTATAATCCTATATTACAAATTCAGTTTTCCATTTCAAAAAAATAGTGAAAAAATTTGTAGAAGGAACTCTTACATACTATCTTCTTCATATGAATCAAACTCCTGTCTTCAGTAAAAAAATTCATGAATCTGTCAATGTATGGCAAAAACCACTACAATACTGTAATTAGCCTCCAATTAAAATTTTTTAAAAAATTCATGAATCATAAATGTAAACCATTTTTGAATGGGCAAAGAAGAAAACATTACAAGAAGGGAGGTGTAGAAGTAATGAATTTTATTATGAAGTTGCCTGCTAATCACTTTTCAAATCAGTACTAAGGGTAATGATAACCCTATATGCAAAACAGAAAAAGAGACACAGATGTACAGAACAGACTTTTGGACTCTGTGGGAGAAGGCAAGGGTGGGATGTTTTGGGAGAACAGCATCCAAACATGTATATTATCTGGGGTGAAACATCACCAGCCCAGGTTGGATGCATGAGACAAGTGCTCGGGCCTGGTGCACTGGGAAGACCCAGAGGAATCGGGTAGAGAGGGAGGTGGGAGGGGGGATCGGGATGGGGAATACATGTAAATTCATGGCTAATTCATGTCAATGTATGACAAAAACCACTACAATACTGTAAAGTAATTAGCCTCCAACTAATAAAAATAAATGAAAAAATAAAATAAATAAAAAAAAATAAGGCATATTTAGTTTCATGAGTTTCATGGGCTTTTCTTATTTTGGCTAAAAATCAGGGAGAAAAATATGTACCTCTGCTTGAATGGAAATCTATGAAAAGTGGCAATTCTGGGCTTTTCTTACCTTGGGTAATAATCAATGAGAAAAATATATACCTCTTCTTGAATGGAAATCCTTGAATTTATTAAGAACTTCCTTGTGTGTTACATAAGGCCTTCACCTATGGGATGACTATGAAGTTTGGGTTCTTTAAGGTCTTATGGGTGGGAGATGGGAACAAACGTATACCTATCACTGATTCATGCTGATATATGTAGAAGCCAACACAATACTGTTGTGTTGTTAATCCTCCAATTAATAATAAATTTAAATAAGATACTAAGAAATAAGTTTCTGTGTGTACAAAATAGCCTCTATTTAGGTAAATTAAAACAAATTTTATAAGTAAATGCAAATTTTAGGAAAAAATGCGTATTTTAACAATATAACTGACTCTTACATGAACCCTAATAGTTAACTTAGTTCAGGAACTCCAGTATTCTAAAAATTACCAAATTAAGGGGCCTAAAATAGAAAATAAATAATATGGTCAATATTTCCCTTGCAGCAAGTAGTCTGATTCTTAACAGGGGAAGAAGAATGGAGACTCACAACAGAGGCATTATACATTTAGCTAAATAAAAATGTTTTCCCCCAGTACACCCCAAGTCAATTTTCCAGGGTCATGGTAACAAACTCTAATTATTTAAACACTAAAATGGCTCTTACGAAAGTTAAAGAGCTGGAAAATTTTTAAATGCCCCATCTATCTCTTCCATCAAACTAAATGAAAATGACTAGAGTAAATGCCCTCAAAAGAGAAAAGTTTAGGTATTCACTGAATGTCTTTTTACTCTATTTTTTTAAAAAAATTATTTTTGGCTCTAAACTTTCTGGCAGCTTAAAGATTCACCTTGACCCAGTATGACAGAAACATCATAAAAGAACTACTATTTTCCAGTGATTCACTTAATTGACATATACTTTCTAAAGAGTTCACTTAAGCAGAAAAAGCAGAAATTTTTAACTAAAATTAGATAAAATTGTATAGAAGTCCAATTCCTGCCCCCAACTTTGTATTCTGGTATCTTTCAAGCATACAGAATGATTAATATTTTACAATGAACCTCCATTCACCCATCGCCTAAATTCAATAATAATTATTTCACCATGTTTATTTTATAAATACATAGATATGTAAGTTTATGTATTTTTTATTTTTTTTGCTAAAGCATTTGAAACATAAATTCAGACACGTCACTCCTAAGTGCACAGGGCAAGCTATCACCTAATTAGTATAGTCTCGTATTTAACCACTACAATTATTATAGCTAAGAAACTTAACAATAATTTTCTCATACACAATGGGTAGTCCATACTTAAAATAACCCACACTACTCCCAAAATATCTATTTTTTAAATACCTAAGATCCCAGCAAGGTTCACAAACTGAAGAACTGTTACTGAATCATTTGTAATGCCAACAGTGCCCTAAATAATGTCTCACACTTGTACTAATTTGGTGCACTTTTAGTAAACTCATTAAAGATTTTCATGAATGTGGAAATTTAAAAGACTTGTCAAAAAATTGTTCAGACTATAAATACTTTATCTCAAAAACACTTAGCTAAGAGACAGAAATTTAAATTTTCTGTATAAAGTACAAAGTACATTTTAAGAGTAGGAAAAAGAAAACTAAACTGTGCAATGTCCCAATTTACTTGGGAGCACAAAAGACAGGTAGAGACCAAAATGCCTGTTGCTTTTCTGTTGGAGGTCTTCTGAAATCAGGGTGGTCTAACAAGTATTCAAAAAACTCCAATATAAACACTGCATTCTTTGTAAGAGCTTGGCCTATTTCAGCATCTTTGACTAGCATTCAAATACCAGGCTAAAAACCTTGATCATCAGGCAGTCATCACCACAAAATGTTTTAGTCACCCTATAAAAGTTACATTTCTTTATTTAAGATAAGAGAGGAATTTCTGGAAGGAGGAAGGGAATATATGAAAAAATTCACAATAAAAGTTACAGGCTCCTTCTAACTTTCTTAGCTCAACTGTATAGTATCTATAATCTCGTCTTTTTTCTGCAGTTTGTTTTTGAAGGTAAATAAAATCAAAGACATGAAAGAGATTTACGTATAAAAATCCATGTGAGTATAAAGAATAAGTAATGACTTGCTGTAGACTAAATAGGAATGTAAATTAATCAAAAATGTATACTGAACCAAGTAAAGTATTTTTTCACACAAACTCAAGAGTAACATTCCAATTTGCTAGGTTTAGGGTTAAAACATTGAGAAATATCTTGAAATATGAATGATGTTCTAGTTTTTCCTTTTCAATAAGTACTAAAAATTAAGACATGGCATTTTTTACATCTCTACACAGTAAATTTCCTTTGGTGCAATGACTCCAAAATATTAAATAAAAAACAGTTAAGAAGATATTTCACTTTTTTAAAAATTATGTTTAATCCAGCTTATTTATTTGATCAGGAAAAGAAATCATTCTAAAAGTGCTCAACCTAAATTAAGAGACGGGGACGCTTCACTGTCACACTTGGGATAGAGCATGCTTGGAGTATAGTGAAATAAGGTTCACATCCAATTACAGTTAGACTTAACTGCTTTACTGCTTTACGAGGGGTTCCCTGGTGGTTCAGACAGGAAAAAATCTGCCTGCAATACAGAAGACCTGGGTTCGATCCCTTGGTCAGGAAGATCCCCTGGAGAAGGGAATGGCTACCCACTCCAGTATTCTCGCCAGGAGGATTCCGTGGAGAGAGGAGCCTGGTGGGCTACAGTCCATGGGATCGCAAAGAGTCAAATACGACTAAGCGACTCACACACACATTATTGCTTTATACTGCTTTCCCATCAGCTTACCCCCACATCTGTACTATTCTACAATCAACAGATTAGGCCATCCCTAAAGAAGAAAGGTTAGGGTAAGGGAACATTAGGAGTTTTAGGTCTAAATTCTCTCAGTAATTACTTATTGCCAATCTATACACTATTCACAAACTACTAATAAGCCTAGGGACATTCCCTGACACAGTGAAATCAGTAACATAATTGTGACAAATATTTAAGTATTTCAAAAACAATACTTTAAGTTCATTAGTTAAAAAGCATTTGATTCCCAGGTTATACTCTTGGACAACCTGAAAATTCTTAAAATGCCAACCAACAAGAACTCTGTTTCTAATTGAGCAATGACTTATTTGTCTTTAAAACATTCACTATTTTAAAGCCACAGTTCATAACAAAAAATAAAGTTCATAATGTAAATTTATCAATCACCCAGTCACTGTTGGTACCTACCTCAAGAAGGCCAGCTTTTGTGGTCACCACCAACATATCAGAATTTCCTTCATCTTCCATAGTGAGCAGCTCTTCAACTGGAGAAACAGCTCGAAACTGAAAAGGTGTACTTGCTCCACGAATTTCACCCTTATGGGTAACATAACAGAACTGATAAAACTCTCCATCATCATTTGGAAGGTAATATCCTAAAAGGAGTATAAATAAGAAAATTCTTATTTATTGTTATAAAATTATTTGTATTTAACAAATCTTGCCATCTCCTCTTATTCCTGACCTTGTTTCTAGACACTCAAGATGTCTTTCTTTCCTCCTTCATAAATCGTCTATCAAAATTAGACTCGTTTCTTCCCTAAATATGCCCATATTTTTATCTTAGGTCTAAGATTATACTTTCAGAATATTCTTTCCCTGTATTTTCACTCGGATAAAACCAATTCAGCTGGGAGAGTCAAGTATGTAGTTTTCAATGAGAAAGAGGCTGGAGGAGGAGCAATGCAAGAGTAAGCATAAAAACCTAGGAGGACTAGGGGTAGGAATATCATCAATTAAAGAAATGTTCCCTCAAATGACATTAATTAAATGCAAAGGAGATATATTAACAGAAGGAATATACCACACAAGTGAATTGTGTAAGGGCAAAAAATGAGGATTCGGTCTACTTGTGCAGAACAAAAATAAGCTTTGGAACCACAAGTATTTATTCTGGAATCCCAGCTCTACCACTAATTATTATATATTTAACCACCCTGAGCCTGTTTCTTATCTGTAAAAGAGATCTGAAGCCAGCTATCTCAAAGCTTCAAAGTATCATGGATTATGTATACCATCTAGCCCACTATCTGACAAATGTTTTCAATATTTGTTCCTTTCTTCTTTAGCTCAACTGCTACCCTCTTAAATTTTGCTGGATTACAGCTCAAAATTAATCTTTACCTCCTCTCCAAAGCTCCCATGGTATTTTTTACATGTAAAAAGGGGAAAAAAAGAAAAAAAAAAAAAATCAAGACTCCCCAAGTGGTCCAATGGCTAGAACTCTGAGCTCTCAATGTAGGGGACCTGGCTTAGATCCCTGGTCAGGGAACTAGATCCCATATGCCACAACTAAATATATAGTATTTTGCAACTAAGATCTGGTGCAGCCAGATAAATAAAAATTGAATTTAAAAAAAAAATCCTCCACAGTATGCTTTGCATTATAATTACATATATGCTTTATTCTATAGACAACATCCATCCCTGGAGGAAGAAATGGCAACCCACAGAGGAGCCTGGTGGGCTACCGTCCATGACGTTGCAAAGAGTTGGGACACAACTGAGCACATACACATAAATCTCAGAAATGTTGAGGGCAGATTATTAATAAATATCAAAATTCTGAAATCTCCCAGAATGACTTGAAAAAAGAAAGCATTCAATGATAGTGAAATGAAATACATAGATGAATCTATTCACCTTATCTTTAATATTGATTTCAACCCAGAAATCTGTATTCACTATGCCTATTATTACTTCATATCTTGAAAATTTTAGACTTTATTACCATGATATTGATTTCACTTGACTTCCTTCTTTAAAAAATAGCTGATCTTTGTCCATGGGGGCAGGGAGGTAGAGAAAATATAGTATTAGCCTGAAATATCTGGTGGTTCTTGAAAATAAGAAAGCAGTTCTCAAAAAAACTCGGGGAAGAGGGTGTCAAAAACCATGGGAGCCCATGTGATAGAGCTTCCAATAGTCAAAGAAAGCTAAAACAATTTGAGCAACAAAAAAATGGTTACATTAGACTTTATCCCACAGAAGAAAATAAATTTCCATGAATCCATGGAGAAGAGGACAACTCTTCCTAACATAACAATTCCAACTAATAATGTAGAAGAAATGAGAATAAAAAGACATCATCAGACAAACACAACAGTAATTGTTGTAGGTAAGATCCACTGATGGATACTAAAATTAATGGGTCAAAGTTTGAGGTGAAACATTTGCTTAACTCAAAGTTGCTCCCCGTAATAGTCATTAAATTACAAAGAGAAAAATACTAACTTTAACGTAGAGAAACCCAGCAGGTATCACCTTAATCAAGTGATCAAAACTAACATTACTAGAAATTAGACATTCAGACATCAAGTAATCTCTAGTACACTGCACTGAAAAGAATACATCACTTTCATGGTAATCTTCCTGAAAATGTATAGCCTCAATCTAATCACGAGAAATGATCAGAAAAACTCAAAATGAGGAACAGTCTACCAAAACAAAACTGAAAATTACTCTTCAAAAATGAAAGGTCATTAAAAACAAGGACAGAATGAGGAACTATCACAAACCAGAGAAGAGGAAGATGATATGACAACTAAATACAATGTGGGATTATGGACTAGATCCAGGAACAGAAAAAAGGAAAACTACTGGAAACACTAGTGAAATCTGAATAAAGTCTGTCCTACTGAAGTCAATAGTGTTGTACCAATGTTAAATTTATGTTTTTTCCAAAATAAACGGTTATACAACGTGTCAATACTAACGGAAGCTGGCTGAAGGGTAGATGAAAATTCTATATACTATTTTTGCAACTGCACATCTAAACTTATTTCAAAATACAAAGTTATTTTTAAAAATAACAGAGAATTCCCTATGGAACCAGTGGTTAGGACTGTGCACTTCCAGTGCAGGGGGCACGGGTTCCACCTCTGGTTGGTGAACTAACATCCTGCAAGCCACAATAAATTTATCTAGCAATAAATTTTTTAAGTTTTTAAAAACTCCATCCTCTTAATACCTTCTACTAAATTTATTAATCCGTGGCTGAGTAACTTTGCAAATGGCCACTACGTTTACTTTAAAAGTTTAAACAGAAAACAAAAACACAGTTTGACTAAAGAGCTCTGGTTCAGACATGACTGAAGCGACTTAGCATGCATGCATGCACTGGAGAAGGAAATGGCAACCCACTCCAGTATTCTTGCCTGGAGAATCCCAGGGACAGAGGAGCCTGGTGGGCTGCCATCTGTGGGGCTGTACAGAGTTGGACATGACTGGAGCGACTTAGCAGCAGCAGCAGCAGCAAGCAGTTCTGGTATCATGGCATTAGAAATTCTACAAACTAGATATTCAAGGTCTGCTTTTTTTAATATCACAAAAATAACTCGCTAGAAAACATGGCTCAGGATTTCTCTGGTGGTGCAGTGGACATAGGTTCAGTCCCTAGTCTGGGAAGATTCCACATACCACAGAGCAACTAAGCCCATGTGCCACAATTACTGAACCCGTGCTCTAGAGTCCTCAAGCCACAACTACTGAACTACGTGCTACAACTACTGAAGCCCACTCTCCAATTCAGTGCTCCCACAACAAGGGAAGCCATCGCAATGGGAAGCCTGCACACTGCAACAAAGAATAGCCCCTCCCTGCTCACCTAACTAGAGAGAACCCACGCAAAACAATGAAGACAATGAAGACCGCTACAGAAAAGATTTTTAAATGGTTCAATACCATGTAAGATACAAAATAGCTATTCACAGTTGAAATTCAAAGCTACCTAGAAACAGATCTCATCAGATCAATAACACTGAGAACAGGAAAAAGTAAAAACCAAATTCCAAGTCAAATTTTATAGCAATCAAATTACAGTAAATAAATAAGGGTTCATTTAGAAAAACAATTATACCTATGCATATTTTATTAGTTGTTCTGAGTTTTGCATTTCAGGATTCTCATCACTACTCCACAAAATGAACAAAATTATTTGGATTTGCTTAAAATTCCTTCTACCTCTAATATTATATAACCAAGTTTTTCATGATTTTATCTTGAGTTCACTATATAACAAACAAGTCCTAGGCAAGCAGAAGCTTCTCTTTCTGAATTTCAAAGTAAAAATTATGATGAATTTTCAAAAACATGTAAATTAGCTCCCAAGAAAATGCTTTTACAGTATAAGTAAAAATAAACTGGATCCATTTCTTTTTTTTAAAGTGCTTTTAAACTTTTCGCTGTCATAAATAAGCAAATTCATTAGTCACTATAACAAATTCTGTTAAGTTTCTTATTCTAAGAAAACTAATCACATGAAAAATTACCGGAGATAAAGCTGAAACTTTGCATAACAAATATCCCATAACAAAATTAGTTCCAATATGCACAATTGAATGTGATCATCTAAAAAAAGATAAATTCCTTAATCTAGAAAACATCTATGAGGACCTAAATCTTTGTCTTTATTACAAGTACAAATTTTATCCTCTGAATATGTGTTTCCTGTCACAATACATAAGGAAAGTTTTTCTATTAATATATATGTAATCTATATGTGATCACATTGCCAACTGATAAACATCGTTAGATTTTTTTAAAAACATAAACCACCAAAAGCCAAAACACTACCACCACCTAATGCTGGCAAAGACGTAATCCACAACAACTCTCTCTCCTTGCTGGTGGGAATGCAAACATTGCCACTTTGGAAAAAGTTTGATGGTTTCTTACCAATGCATGCTAAGTCGCTTCAAATGTGTCCAACTCTTTGCGACCCTATGGACTATAGCCAACCAGGTTCCTCTGCCCATGGGATTCTCCAGACAAGAATACTGGAGTGGATTGCCATGTCCTCCTCTAGGGGAAATTCAGAAAGAGAAGCTTCTCTTCCCATGTAGCACTAGTGGTAAAGAACCTGCCGCCAATGCAGGATCGAACACACATCTCTACATCCCCTGCATTGGCAGGCAGGTTCTTTACCACTAGTGCTACATGGAAAGAATATATTTCAAAATATATTCTTACCATACCAGCAATCATATTCTGATATTTATCCAAATAAGCTGAAAACTTACACATCCACACAAAAACCTGTGCATGGATGTTTATACCAGCTTTATTCACAACTGCCAAAACTTGGAAGCAACCAAGATATTAATAGACGAATGAATGAATAAGGTATTACATCCATATAGGTGACTTTACGTGTATTAAAATATTATACTGAGACAGTCCATTAGCTTCCCCAGGCCAAAAACAGTCCACAATATAAGTAAGACTAAGAAAGAACTTTAATACAATCTGAAGTCAGTTCAATTTTAATGCAAAAATCACTCTGCAGCAAATTGTTACAGATTTCTAAGTAAAATTATTGTTTTGTTTTTAAAAAATAAAGCAACAGGGTGTATTTTTTTTTTTTAACATAAGAAATCTGAAGGCAGTTGCCAGCTGACCTTGATTTGGGAGCTCAGGCATGTCAAGACAAACATATATGGACTTGTCTTGGCCTTCTACCTCATGGCCACAGGAGGGATGCTGGAGCTCTAGCCATCACCTCTGTGAAGGTAGAATGTGGGGGGAGGAACAATACTAGGTCTATCTTCCTCAAAAGTAACTTTTAAACTCTGTATATAATGCAAAGCTAAGAAAAAATGAATTTTGTATTATTCGCATCCATTTTTATAGGCAACTTTCCCTACAGAATTTCTACTCTATAAATCCCATTAATCATCTTTGTGATTTTCATACAGAATATTTTTCTCACCTTTAATCTGTCTTACTATCTAGTATCAGTAACAGCATTATTTTCTCATTTGGAAAAAAGTGATCAAAAGACTTCAATGAAGAAATAAGGAAAACAATGTTTAATTGTCTACATAAAGTATCATGAGACCATCACTAGATATTTACATTCTATGACTTTTGATAAAGACAGACACTAATTCAACTTTAGTCACTGGACACACTTAAGCAGATAATCACAACAGGGTACAACATTTTTAATGGCAATAAAACATCTAATTTCATCGAGTTCTGTTTTCAGTTCTTACCTTGAAATGCTAACACACAATTGACTGTTGATCCTTCTACATAATGTTCAGGCATAGGGGACCATAAAAACGTGTAATAATCACGAGCAGTACTCCATCCAACCTAAAGGAGAACAACAAAAAAGAAGATATTATAAAGTAAGTGGCTTAATATGAGTGATATCTTACAGCATATTGTTTTTTACTGCATCCTAAAGTTAAAGCATGCATTAATATGTTTACAAATCATGGGTATTTTAACAAGCACTACAAATTTTTATTATAATTCTTTATTAAGCTATAACCTACTGCTATAAAAATCTATTTAACCATAGAACTTCTATGTATTAAAATGCAATTTGATATCCAATTTCCCATGGAAAATCTTAGTACACATATGATAAAATATAAAAACTTATGTTTCATTTAAAATTTGATTTCACTAAACGTTACGTTTTTAAAAGTTATTTTATGCCTCAAATTTAAGTGTGTTTTTTTAATTAGATTTCTCCTTCTTCCTAAATCCACTAATTAAATTTCACTAGTCTCTCATCTTTAGTAAGTCTTGCCTACAGGCATGGTAAATTTTGTAAAAATTTATTTTTACTTTTATTCCTAAGGTGTTCACACATACAAAATAACCACCTATATCCCATCAATCTCTAAAATATTTCCAACTTAACAACATGAACATATACATTACATATCTCAGTCTGTTATTTTCCAGATGAACAGTACTATGGTAATATTAGATGTGTTTTAAACAGATACTAAATATACATTTGCCAGTATATCATGGCTTCCATGATGGCTCAGTGGGTAAGGAATCCACTTTCAATGCAGAAGACACAAGAGACTCGGGGGTTCAATCCCTGGGTCAGTAAGATGCCCTTGGAGGAGGAAATGGCAACCAACTCCAGTATTGCCTGAAAAATCCCATGGACAGCAGAGCCTGGTGGGTTACAGTCCAAAGGGTCACAAAGAGTCCGATGTGACTGTGCACACACGAGAAATTATGCACCATCCACAGGGTTTGATTATACATATGTTCTGTAATTCTGATTGACCTAGGATTAGATATTCCAGACTACTGAAGATGGAAGAATCTTGTATTACTATCTTTAGTCTCTAAAGGAGTGTTTTCAAACTGTAGGTCACAATCTAGTAGAGTAAGTGGTGATTCAATTTAGTAATTCATACCCACATTTATTTTTTAATTAGAAAGAATTAGCATCAGAGTGCATGAAGGCTAAGTATTGCTTGATGAAAAGTTCTTTCAGTATGTATTTACATGCAATTCTGCTGGGTCAAATCACAGAATTTTTATTTATTTCTGTGTGTCATGGTCAAAAACATTTCAAAGAAGTTTAAGGAAACCATCATGTAAGTGATTTCCCTGACCTAAGGCTCAGTTTTTTTTTCTCTCAGAATTATTAGAAGGATTAAATTAGATAATAAACATAAAAGCAGCACTTGGCAGAGTGCCTGACCCATGATGGGCACTCCATAAAAGGTAGTTTTTGCAAGCACTGTATGCTGTACTGATTAAGAGCAAAGAAAATAAGGTCGGACTGCTGAAAAAGATCACTTACTAGTTGTAAGATTTCAGACAAGTTATTTTTGTTGCCTCCTCTTTAAAATGGAGATAATAGGGCTTCCCTGGTGGCTCAATGGTAAAGAATCCACCTGCCAATGCATGAGACACAGGTTCAGGGAAGATCCCACATGCCTTGGAGCAGCTATGCCCATGGGCCACAACTATTGAGCCTGTGCTCTAGAGCCAGGAGTCAGAACTACTGAAGACTAGACACCCTGAAGCATGTGCTCCACAAGAGAAGTCACAACAATGAGAAGCCCATGCACCGCAACCACAGAACAGCTCCTGCTCTCCACAACTAGAGAAAAACCTGTGCAGCAACCAAGACCCAGCTCAGCCATAAAATACACACATAAAATGAAGATAACTAACACTCTCAAAGGCTTGTATGTATATCAAATGAGGCAAGCCCTGTAAAGACACTTGGCACAATGCTGGCACATGAGTGTCCATGAAATGTTACCATTCATTAATACCCAAGGACACATAACCTATTAGGGACAGTGATCTTAACACTAAAATGTTCTGTCCCTCATTCCCTATCTCCCAATGCTTCTAACATCTCCTGAAAAAGAACACATCTGAAGTAGTCCCCAAAACATAAACCTGGTACAAGTTATACCTTGCATTCTTTGTTCCCATGCCGGTCCATATGCTAGTCTGGAAAGAAATACTATTCTAGAGCTACATCTTTTTTGAAAAACATCTCCCTAACTGAAGAGGCTCTACCTGGACCAGGTGGTTAGAAGACATGCTTAGTGAGCCATATATTTTTGACGGCAGACACACAGAACTGCTAATATCACAATTATATATATCTGATTCAAGAGGCACAAGGAACAGCAGTAATAAATACATTTACTGTTTTTGAAAAAATACTACCCTTATCTTACAAATTAGGAAACTAGTAGAGGGCATGGACAAGGACGGCAGTGCTGGAGCTGTGGTAGAGTCCCTGGGGGGCAGTCCTGGAGGGGACGGCTTTGTCCCATCTGCTCTGGGAATCCGAGAGCATTGGGATGCTGTCTGTAAGAGAGAACTGCAAACTTTCCAAGAATATGGAGATACAGGAGAAATCTGGTTTGGAGAAGAGAGTAGGACTCGACTAATAAGGTGGATGCAGAAACACAAGATTCCATTGGATGCTTTAGTGCTTGATACTAGAACTGGTGTTTTCCTGGTTCAACTTGCAAAATTAATCAAGAATAACACGAAAAAAAAAAATGGTAAGTGTGTTCCCTTTAAATAGGACTAACATTCTAGAAAAACATGTTGCTATTAATCATTAGTAAATTCTGAAAGGAAATGTAAGGAAGATCAGAAGGACAAGTTTATGAGGTAAAACTACAGGTACTGATAAATTCTAGAGAAACCACAAGAGAAAGAAACATTAGGAATGAGAGCACACAGAGAGCATTTGGAGAGGGAGAGAGGGGGAGAGGGAGAGAGGGGCAGAGGGGGAGAGGGAGGGAGGGAGAGAATTGGTCTGGTTTTGGGGGAGATGTAAATGGAGACAGACACAGGACATGAAGGAGGTAAGGCACTGAAATAAGTTTGCTGATTATGTACATATGAATACAAAACCTAAAAAACAGTTTAAAGATGAGCCTATGAATTTTTAAATTCTAGGAAAACATACACCAAACTTAGCAACAGGTAATTCTGGGGAAGGTGAGGGTACACTCTCTAAGGGTATTAATTTTCTTTCTTTTGTATATACTGTAATTTTCAAAAATCATTACAAGAGTAAAGGTCCTTCTTTTTTAAAAGGAAAGAACTGCAAAAATGCCTAGATACACACAGGGAGACGCAATGCTGATTCTAAGAAATATCATATCATAAAAAACATAAATGTCCCTCCATGAGATAAAATTTTACAGAGCTACTTATTAAGAAAGTGGCTACAATCATAAGTGAAAAATTCAGGACATAAAAACGTCATATACTACTATTCCAACTATTTTCAAAATACATGCGTTCAAAAAAGACAAAGTATTCTCCCTTTAGTTAAAAGGAAAAAAAAGGACTGAAAGGAAACACTTTTAAAACATTAATAATGGTAACCACTCCTAATAGGTAGGGAGACTAGGGTCTGATCCCTGGGTTGGGAAGACCCCCTGGAGGGCATAGCCGCAGATTCCTGTATTCTTGCCTGGAGAATCCCATGGACAGAGAAGCCTGGCAGGCTACAGTGTCAAACATAGACTAAAGCAACTTAGCGCACAGGCACATAGCTGGGCGATGGGACTGCTGGTCATCTTAAATTTTTACCTTTTGCATCCCCTGTTTTGTTCCAAGTTTTCTAAAATTATGATAATTTTTACAACAGAATATTTTTTTAAAAACAAAAAATTAGAAAGGACTGGAATGGAGACAGGGCAGGAAGACAGCAGAAGCAGAATGAAGACAAATATGAAAAGGAAAAGAGAAACAAAGAGGGAAAAAAAAACTTGAAACAAGATATTCAAGTACAAAATCATTGCTCAGTTTCACTTTTCATACCAGGAAATTAAAGTTTTTAAATCTGGTTGTCAGTAAGGATTCAGTGAGAATAGTACCTTACTGGGAAGGCTGGTTTTGCCTATGTGACACTGGACAACATGACATAATCACTCTTGCACTCCCAATTTCCACAACTAGAATAGAATCTCTCAAACATGAGAATTGTTATAACTCCTTTACAGTTAAAAAATAGTCTCAAGGACATTTAGTTTAAATTACTTTAATTATAAGTTAATTTAATTTGTACCAAGCATAGCCTAAATATAAATAGATTCTTAAAAATATTTACGGTCAAGACCAAATCAAATTGATGGTAATAAAACAAATACAATGGGACATATTAAATATTTTATTTCAATTAATGTTGGGTTTGATAATAGATATGACATCATGTACAGTTCTCAATCTTTTCCTGTATTTTTTTTTTTACTTCAATCCTATCACTCATAAAATGCACACAGAACTTTTTAGGAATTCTGTTGTTAACTTTGAAAAACTAGATCTCTCACTTAACCAAACTGCCAAGAACAATTCTTGAAGTTTTACATGCGGTTCAAACATTAGCTCCAAAGTTTAATTTGGAGTGACCAAGACACTTCTTTCTGGACCTCAGTTCCCTCATCTGCAAAATGGTTGAGTATAATGCTCTCATGAAAGATCTTTGCAAAGTATAAAGAATAAACAAACATGCTACATGTTTTAGTTATAATTTAACCAACACTAGAGAAGAGAGTGGACAAGGAAATGGCAACCCACTCCAGTAATCTTGCCTAGAGAATTCTGTGGACAGAGGAGCCTGGTGGGCTTGTCCATAGGGTCACACAGAGTCAGACACAACTGAAGCGACTTAGCATGCATGCATGCATTGGAGAAGGAAATGGCAACCCACTCCAATATTCTTCCCTGGAGAATCCCAGGGACAGAGGAGCCTGGTGGGCTGCCGTCTATGGGGTCACACAGTCGAATACGACTGAAGTGACGCAGCAGCAGAGAAGAGGGAGAAAAACTGACGGGAAAAAATGAAAATCTCCAACCCAGTCTACATCCCTAGTCTGGCTTCACTCATTCCCCTACCCAACCTGGACTTCATGGTCAGTTAACCATTTCAGTAATGCACCTAAAACCATGCTAGTATCCTTGGCCCTCTTGACTTCTCTTTCCAAACTCGCAGTGTGAATAATACCCACTTTAGGAATTCACTCAATTCTAGGTGCTCAATCTCTAAACAAACAAAACAGCTGCTCAACAATCTCCTGGTTAACCTACTCCCATTCCCCATTCTTCCACAGTAGCAAGACCAAATCTTCTCCATACTCAAGATCCCCACACCCCCAGCCCCACTCCTCATGCCAACTCAGCGCATGATCTTGCTCCTCCCCACTGAGTACATTTAATGAATGAGTTTCAGTCCCAATGCATTCAGTTAATTGCTGACAAACCTTATAGATGCTTCCTATGGATTATTACCCACAATTGATCCCCTTCTCAAAGGCCTGCATTATCTCACCTAGAAATTAAGATGGTCTACACATTCTCTGTGCCTCCATTCTAATTCCAATTTATCTTATTCAGCATTGTAAGATTAAAGTTCACTTCTAAACTCTATTACTCTCTGCTTAAAAGCTATTCCTCAACTAAATATTAAAACAATCGACAACATGATCCAAACAAACTTTTCCCATTCATTTTCTAAAACTGGTACCTGTCCCAGGAAAATTAAATTCTTTAACATTTTCTGAAGCACACAATACACTTTCCCTTCATTCCTTCCCCTTAGAGTTACTATCTAGGCACTTTCTCCCTGCCTGCCTTGTCAATATATCCATCAAAATCATTCTAGACAGCAACAGGCAGTACATATCAAGTACTTAAAAACATTCAACGCCATAAACATCGTAATTCCTTTTCCAAGAACTTATCCTATGAAATAAATGGACACAAAATAAAAAAAATACAGTCTGTATTAAGCACTGTTTAATAGTAAATATTTATAAATATTTCCATTAATTTCACAATGCATCAACAGCATATGTGTATACTTTTTATAGACAAAGTATAATTATTATTTACAGATATATACCAATATGTTAACAATGCTTATTGCTAGGTAATGGTATTAAAACATGATTTTTTTTCCCCTGAGTTTTCCTGTGCAGTTTGAAGTTTTTGCTACTTGCTTAAACTTCCCACTGAGTTTTAAGTATCATCCAGGCAGAAAGATGGAAAGGGTACTCTACTCAAATTTATTTATTTATTTATGTAAGTACTACTGCTTAAAGAAGAGTTAACAATCCTTGGAGTGCACGAGAGACAATACATTAGCATTATGAAAGCCAATAATAAGCAGGCAATGTAAAAAAAGGAAGCTATAAATCAGGTCTTATAAAGGAGCCCTATTTGGCACCCTAAGTTATTTGGTCTTGGCATTATCACAGAGAATGAAAAGCCACTTAAACAAGAGGAAGATATGTTCAGATTTTCATTTTCTATTACATATACAGCATTTTGAAGAACAGATAAAATGGAGGAGCAGCATTAAGAATGAAAGCAGGGAAAACAGGAAACCTATTGCAATCGTCTTAGAAGGAGATAAGGAGGGCATGAACTACAGCAGTGATATTAAAAATGTGGAAATAGGCAGTAAAACTGACACAATTGTGTTTGGCTGGATCTGATGAGACAGTCATAAACTTTTGGCGTAAACAATAGGTTATTAAAAAATGGGAGGGGGGACCAGAAGACAAAAGTAAGTAGTCTGAAAAGAAAAAGTAAAGATTTATCTTCTTGAAATGCAATTTATCACACATCAGCCGACATATGCGGACTTCTCACTGCACACAATGAAAAGTCTGCAAACTACTTAGCTTAACACTGAAGGTCTTCCGTGGAAAGACTGACACTTCATCTCCCTCCACTTCACTAACTCATTCTCATTAACATTCTCACCCCTGTGCCTTTGCTTATGCCATTTTCCTGCCAGCAATGCCCTTTCTTCCCTCATCTCATTTCCCTACTCTATTCTTCCTCTCTGTCTCACTCTTCAAGAAAATACCAATTCTTAGTGTCTTTAACTTATTTATCTCTTATGTAAAATTAAAAATGATACTGATTTCATAATAAGCTTACAATTAATTTATCTTCATACTTGATTTTGACAAGCCTAAAGAAAAGAGAGTAAATAACTCACCAATCCAGCAACGCCAAGTGATGAGAGATTCAAAAAGGTACTGAAATATCATTAAATGCCAGAAATTTGTTTTATCCCATAAAGTTTTTCTGCCCTCCTCACTCTATTAGGCCAGACTTTCACTACTTGATACTCTCAATGTACCTAATTCTAGCAGCTACTTTTATTTCTTTCTACTTTACTATTTAACTTATACAGACCACACAATCAAAATTTCGATACCTAACGGTCCTGGTTTTAACAAGTCATATCTAAAATAAAAATTGCTTCTGAGGGAGAATCTAAAAAACCCAAGAGAAAAGTAAGTTTTACTACCTGTACATTTACAGCATTACTTTGCTCAAAGGACATTCTTATTTTCTGGTTCTCCATTACATTCTGAAGACTTGAAATTGCCAAAAAACTTCCACCACTATAATGATCATCTCAGTGTAATTTTCAACTAAATATAACACATAATGGCAAAATATTAGGACTGGGACTCTTGCCATCAACGAATTTACCAGTCATGTAAAACAGAATACTCTTATTAAAGCACGGGACAATATGAGGAATATTTTAACAATGTGGGACAACAGAAAAGATAATAACACAGCTGTAGAACTGTACAAAATTAATTACAAATGACAAGACTGTAAATGATATAGAAAACCAAAGGAAAAGATCACTTTTTTTAAGGCAAGGAAAGGAGAAAATAGGAGAAGAAAAATTTGAAAAGAATTTTAAGTCAAACCATTTGAACACAGAGAGGAAAGTCTGGTGAAATGAAGTTCCTAACATTTGTTGTGCACCACCCGGCACTATTAAAATATTTCAAGTTTACATAATGTTTTATATTTGACGTTTATAAAAATAATCCTTAACATAGAGCTAAGACAAGTATAAACTAATTGTGACCCTCTTAAGAAGAAAATAAAGAGTGCCTACATGGAAGAAATATGCAGAAAGTTCTCTTACCTTGAATATACCAACCCAATCTTTTGGATGTGGATGGATATATGGAGTTAAAGTATAATGACATTCTAAGTGTGCATTAGGAAGATAACTCTTGGCCACATTTTGAAAGATGACATGGGCAAAGTTGGAAGTCTGCAATGGAACTTCTTGAAAGGATGTCATTGTGAATCTGAAACAAGTAAATTATACATATTTAATGATACCAACTAAGAAAAAACTCCTAAAAGTAAATTACATGGATATTCTCAGAGAATTATTGAAAGGACATACTTCTTAAATACAGAAACTCCTTTAGATATGACTAAATATAAAAACACAAACTGGGAAGTAATTAATTTATAAAATGGTTCAGAAAGTTACACGAGTTAAAAAAACTTACAAACCAGACTTTCACCTCTCCTGCAAAGCCTAGCCCTCTGCTTCTCTTGCAAACCAAAAGCAGTGTTTCTATGTTGAACCCCTGAACTTGCATCACTTTCCTCCCTAATCCAACCTATTGCATCCCTCCACACTAGGTTCTAGGCTCCTATAACCTCGAGCCTAGTCAACCTCTCTGTCATGCATTCCTGACCCACATTCATGATCCCCAGCTTTTCTGAACCCCAGCTACATATCAGAATCATTAGGGGGTCTTAGAAAAAGACAATGACTTTTTGGGACCTGGGCACTGCATGCAAGTGTGTGTATACGCATTTCTTTTAAGCCTCCCAAAGTAATCTTAATCCTGTATACAACCAGCACAGAGAAATACTATTTAGACTCTGACTCAAACTATCAATTTAAGTCTCCATTAGCAGCCCTCACAGATTCCCACACCTGGGCTGTCTTCTTGGGCTTCTGGTACACACTTGTTCAAATCTCTCAAATGATGTAAAATTTCAGTTGGTCCACTTGAAATAGTTCAGCCTATTTGTTCATCTCTACCTATACCAAATCTACCCTTTCATTCTATCTTGATTCCAGCATTACTGTACCCTTTCCATACAGTTACTGATTAAAAATACATGTATCTTTAAATATATAGTGTCAATGAAATACATACCATTGAGAATCTATTATAGATTCAGTGAGTGCTCACTAACTTAGTACTAGCTAGCAGATGAATGGTGAAAGTGGCCTATAAAAATCTTCAAAACCTAAATGTTTTCCATATTATTTGCTCTACTTGTGAGAAAAATGATACAATTTACTCAAAAAATCTATCTCTGCAGCGTGTCAGACTCACTTCAGTCATTGCTTCTACCATACCACATACGAAACAATGCCACTGATACTGTAGCACTTGCTTGAGTCATCAAAACAAGAATCTCTGTTAATAATGGAAAAAACCGGGTTAAGACATTTGCTAACCAAATCATTCTAATTTACTTTACAAATCCATGAAGTTTCTATGGAAGTAACACTAATCACATTTTTTTTTTTTTCCAGCCACACTGTGAGGCTTGCAGGATCTTAGTTTCCAGACCAGGGACTGAACCTGGGCCAAGGCACTGAAAACATTAGAGTCCTTACCAGTAGACTACCAGCAAATTCTCAACACTACTCACATTTTAACAATTACTAAGAAGTCTTTATTTCTAGGAAGATCTAAGAAAATATGCTTTTCCATGTTTCTTTTGTTGATCTGAAATACTAAAGCTGATCTTTAAAATTCTGAAATAACACTTCAGAAAACGTCCAATTTTGTGTCTTCTCTGCTTCTGTTATTGTCAAGATACTGCTTTGTACTTACAGGATATACAATGTACTGGACATCCCACAAAGAGACTGTCATTTGTGAACCTGAAAGCCACTGTGACAGAATACCAGGCTGGATGTCTATCGGCCCTTCCCACCTGAGGTTTGCCAGGATTCTAAGGTAAAGAGAATGCATTCAGTAGTAAATTTCCTATATCTTGGCACTAACAAAAAGGCTTTATTACCAACAACCCTACTTCACAGAAAGACTTAACAGTCAGTAGTCTCCAGCTGGCAACCTAAAGTCTTCAGGAAAATGAAAAGGTAGCACAACACTAGGAACTTCCTGAAGCAAGTGTTCATTACTTTGTTTCTTTGAATAGTCTGAGCAAATCTGGGCCCAAAGGGATGTTATGATGTTAGTGAAACCACTAATGATTATCTCCTTTCAAGTTCAGTGGCTTCCTAGAAGAAAAAAAAAAAACAAAAACTCTTGATTCCAGTTTTGAAAAAATGTTCACTACTTGTTATAAAAAACCCATGAGAAAGACTATAGCTGAATTAACTGAACCAAACTCTTTTAGATACAACTACCAAAACTGAGACAAGTAAATCAGTAATGTTCTTCTATGAAGAAAGTGAGTATTTAAAAGTTTCTCTGAGGAAGATACTCAACAAGAAGAAAACAAAGTTAGCTTAGGATGAGTTTCCCATGTTGTACATTAAAAGGCATTTAAGAATGAAACTTTTTTCCTAAAGTAAACTAAATCAACAAAGCAGTATATGTTATACAACAAGGTAGTGTTTTGTTTAACCTCAATTACAACAGCGTTTAAAAATCAGTAATTAGACTTTTACTTCACTGAAAAGTTTTTAAGATATAAAATAACATAAAGGTATATACACATATGTGGGCGTCCCAGGTGGCTCAGTGGTAAAGAATCCGCCTGCCAAAGCAGGAGACATGGGTTCGATCCCTGGATCAGGAAGATCCCCTGGAGAAGGAAATGGCAATCCACTCCAGTATTCTTGCCTGGAATATTCCATGGACAAAGGAACCTGGTCTTTTATGAAATTCCATGGGACTGCAGAAGAGTCGGACTCAACTTTACAACTAAAACAATACACATGTATTTATATATGTACATGTGTATATATGCTTATAAATGTATCAAAAGGGACTAAAAAGCACACACTACAGTCTTTATTCATGAGAGCTATGTGTGAAAAGAGGACTTAGGAGAACTTCAACTTTTAACTCAATTGACTGAATGTACTAGTTTCATTATTTTAAATAAACACATTAACAAGAAATTTCATTTTTAAACCCTCTCCCCAAAATTCAAGTTTTTAATACAAAACTCTATCAGATATTAAATAGATTTATGATGCTTATAAATCTTTAGAGTAAGATAATTTGCAATTATCCCATTAATAACAAACCTTCATTAATCTCTAACACTAACCTTTTTAAATATTTCATTCTGACTATAACTACAGAAATATTTTTACAAAAGTCATTCCATTCTCATTACTTTTTAAAATTAATTTAATTCTAATGTAACTTCTACTCATAAAAAAGTTAACAAGGATAAATGTTATCTGAATGTAACTACAACATGAATCAACCCATTTTAAACAGTAAAATAACTAATTCCCATACAGTTTATGTTTCATTCTTCACACAGGTAAGAAACGGAGTGAAAAGATGGTAAATCTTTTAAAATCATTTAAAATTCACTGAGAATGTTAACGTATCACAATGATTCACATGAAACTTACACCCTCTGCCAGGTCACAGGCACACACACACAGACCAACATATACAGACCCACACACCATCCAGTGGGGAAGTAATGTGCAAAGTCACTGCATCACCTTGTGGTAGTGTTTGGGAAGTGTAGCTTCACTGACATCTTGAGAAATAGAACAAACTCAGCCTCAGCTGGAGAGAGGAAATACAATGCCTACCACAAAAGTAGGAGTAGCTTTACCATATTAAATTTTGTTTCCCATTCTCTATAAAGTACACCTATAGAAACATGGCAAACAAAAAGTAAATAAATAAACCAAACCAGACTTAGCAAGAACAAGAGTAAGGGGGACAGAAAGAGCAAAGGGGATCAACTGTATGCTGGTAGATGGAAACTGTATTTCTGGTGGTAAACATGCTGTAATATATACAGAGTTAGAAATATGTTATACACATGAAATTAATGTAATAAACCAAAGTTACATAAGTAAAAAATAAAAAATACATGAGAACAGTTCAACAACAACAAAAAAAAGCAGACAGACATATCTGGCTGGGAAACAAAGTCTGAAATACTTTTACATGCTGTCTGCAGTGCCCTCTTCCCTGTTTTCTACTTTATTCGCTAACATCTCTAGGGTTCCTTTTACATGTTATGCTCTAAACTTTACTCTGTTAAAAGTCTTTGGTCTAAAATTCAATTTTTGTTATTTTTGAGGACTCATCAATATCTAAGGAATAACAGACAATATGCAGTGGGCCCTCAGGTAAGATAAAATAAACTGAGGGCGGGGGAATTTCATTGTTCATTTCTTCCTCTTGGAACTTTTTCAAGCCCAAGCCTGATCTGGCTTTTCTGGTAGCATTTTTCCAGTGACTTCTGATACTCATTCTACTTAACTAGCCCAAAATGTGTAAACCTTAATCAAATGAAGTAGGAAGTTGACCATACTAAGAATTTCTGTGCATTAAATGTACAGAAACTTAAAACTTTCTAATTTGGATATTTTATATAATTTGCTAATTCTAACACTTAGAATTCAAAAACAGATAATTTTATTCTAGGTGATACTATTATTATGGTGATTGTATTTTTTTCGAAGTCCTTACCAGTTAAAGATGATAAATTATAGGTGAAATATCCTGATGTCAACGATTTGCCTTAAAAAACTCCAGGGGTGATAAACCAAGATTAGCAAAATAGTGAGTCCTTAAACTCTTCTCTTTTTGGGTATTTTGAAAATTTCCATAATAAAAGTTAGTAAAACCAAAGTAGACAAAGACTAGTAATAAAAACTCCCATATGACCTTTTGCAATAAAAACACATCACACACAGTGGTTGAAATGCTCAGTAAAAAATTTTTTTTTAATTTTCTGTTAATTATATATGAACTTTCAAACTTATTTCCAAACAGTTCTGGAAGAAACTGAGTATCTGAAGGGAAAAACTACAGCTAATATTCTAACTGCTTCCAATTACTCACATTTCTGCTCAAAGACTATCAGCTGGCTTACAGACCAGAAAAGAATTATCAGCGATCCTTCTGGAAGGCAGAAGCAAATCCACCAATTTGTCAGTTTACACACTTAACAGTCCTCCCAATCTCCAGAACTCTTACAGCTGAGTACCACTGTTCATTACACTCTGCCAGGTGTCATGCACACCACTTAATTTTGTTTTAAATAAGGTTTCTAAAAAGCTGTGAAACTGACTTTTTATTATATTAGAGG